CTGTATGTCACTGTATGTCACTGTATGTCACTGTATGTCACTGTATGTCACTGTATGTCACTGTATGTCATTATATGTCACTGTATGTCACTGTATGTCACTGTATGTCACTGTATGTCACTATATGTCACTGTATGTCATTATATGTCACTGTATGTCACTGTATGTCACTGTATGTCACTGTATGTCACTATATGTCACTGTATGTCACTGTATGTCACTGTATGTCATTATATGTCATTATATGTCACTGTATGTCACTGTATGTCACTGTATGTCACTGTATGTCACTATATGTCACTGTATGTCACTGTATGTCACTATATGTCACTGTATGTCACTGTATGTCACTATATGTCACTGTATGTCATTATATGTCCATTTCTATCTTAAAATAAAAATAAATTAATTCAAAATTGTCTGTGTAAAAAATCAACAGTCTCTGCATGGAAAATAACCCCAATAATCTCGTGGTCACAATCTAATTATTTCATGGCCATCCGTTATGATCAAGTAAGATCTTTTTTATCCATTGTCACCAGATATGCTCCTTAAAAACAAGATTTAAAGAATGCATTAAGTTGATTGTCCTCTGCAGGGTTTTACAAACTTCTTTGCTGAGAGCCATTCCAGTAACACATCACTGCCACACCTCTCACCTCACCAGTACACAGGTTTTAAACTAAATACTAGGTCTGCAGGTTGTGGCAGAAAGGACATGTGCTATAAAGAAAATACCAAATCTTTCCTGGGTGTGTACTTTATTTTGTTCTGAATAAAAAAGAACTTAATGTTGTCATCATATTATGATTCTTATTTTTTATTATTTTCTTTCTGTAAAAACTTGCAGCCACTTCCTGACATCTGCTCAAAGGTCAGACGTCAGGGTGTTTCTAGCAGGTTTTGTTGGTTTGAGGTTTTCTTTATGAAGATGAGCTGAAGACTTTGATACTTTGAACTCAAGGAAACTAACCAACCATCACTCTGACAGGTAACATGTCCATCACAGGGTCACATAGAGACAAACATTTATAGTTTCACACACACTTAGGGACAGTTTAGAGTCAGTTATCTAACCTGCATGTTTCTGGTCTGTGGGAGGAAACCAGAGTACTCAGAGCAAACRCACGTGTGCACAGAGAAAACATGCAAACTCCCACTGAAAGCTATTCCATTTAAGTGACATGTGTAGTTATCTGCAAGCTCAAAACTTTTGCACAGCTCTAGAGGTGCCTCACCTTGCCCAGGCAGACAGTCACGGCCTGTTATGAAGAGTTTGTAGCCATAAGCCTTTTCCAGCACCTCAGGCAGTGTCTGCAGGGCAAACCTGTCCACCTCCTCACTGAATCCAACAGCATCAGGCTGAGGGTACGTCACATACGCATCATACAGCTTTCCATCTAAATTTCATACAAATAAAGAATAATTATTTAGATATGTGGGCAGCAGGTGCTCAACACAGCATTGTTTTCTTAAAATACAAATGAAATCAGTTTGTTTATCTGGACTAGCAGACCTGCTCCTATGAAGCCTTACCTTTGTTTGGATAGAAAACTGAAAATGTTGTCCTGAAGCACAGCACAATGTCCAGCTTAAAAATATGGTAGACGATGATGCTGATAACACAGACAACAATCACACTTCCAAAACAGAGTGCAATTACAAATGTGTTGTTTGGATCTGTAATGATAAAAAAGAAACAGGTACCGATGAGTCCAGATTACTGTGGTTCAGAAGTTTACTGTTTTTATCTTTACTAACTTTGAAGATATTTCACAAAATTTCACAAACATTTATTATCTATATTTATATAAAAATGTTTTTAATATTTTTGCAGTGTGAAATGTAATTTACTTTAGTTAATCATTTGAAACCTTCCTGTTATATAAAACTGAACATTCATTAAGAAAACTGTGATTGACTCTGTGACTGGTTTGTCTTTCATCATGTTCATAAATATTAATCAGACATTTATAATATTATTTTACACTCTGTAGGTC